ACTATGAAATATTTACAGAGATTTAGATGGCAGAATAAAAAAGGTGGTTATTCTTAACCAGGGAAGAGCTCAGGGCCCAGGGATTTCAAGGAGAGGAGGAGAAAATGCACATCAACAAATGACCAGTTTCTCTTGAATTAACTGCTTATCTTTCTATGCAGTTTCCTACAACAAAAGATATTCTGGAGCTTATTGTAAATATCAATAATACTTCCAAGTCTTTTCTTTTCTTTTTTCTCTTTCTATTTCTTTCCCTTCCCTCCCTCCCTCCCTCCCTCCCTCCCTCCTGCCGTTCCTTCTTTCCTTCCTTCCTTCCTTCCTTCCTTCCTTCCTTCCTTCCTTCCTTCCTTCCTTTTTTTGTTTTTTGTTGTTTATTTGTCTTTGGGCAATACCTAACATTGCTCAGAGCTCACTCTGCACTCAGGAATTACTCCTGGCAGTGCTCAGGGGATCATATGGGAAGCCAGGGATCAAACCCTGGTCTTCCACATGCAAGGCAAACATCCTACCTGCTGTACTATTGTTATGGCCTAACCAGTTTTCTTCTATAAAATTAAGGAAGGAATAAAAGTTTCTACTCAACCTGAAGTGTCTGAATCAATATTTAGTCATTGGTAACACCAAAGGAACACAGTAGCTGATTAGAACTTGTGAGACTACTATTCACTTATTCTTACCAAATTCCAGTTCTCCTAATACACCCTAACAAGAATTCCAATGATCAAATTCTGATGAAAATTGTAACCTATGTACACTTGAAAGTCAGGTCAATCCTGACTTAGTTTGAGGAATTTGAAGTTAGACTAACCATCCTTCCTTATTTCCCCTGTACCATCCTCAAAACTTACTTTAGATTAGAATAAGTTCATTATTTTAGCAGAGAAAAACATCAAATAGACTTTTTAGACTTTGCAGCCCACAGCATCTCTGCTGTAACAGCACATCTCTGAACGTCATAGCATGAGTTTAGAGAAATAGCATCATTGCATTGGCCCATAGTCTGTACTATTCATGCCACTGAGGTATATTCTCAAAGTCTCTTAGTTTGCAAGCTGAAAACCTGAGTTCATGGCTAATTCATTGCTTATGAATTATGAACATGGGCCCTCGCTTTTCTACACTAGCCCCTTTTATCCTGGACCCAGTGCCAGGCCTTGTCCATGCAAATGGGTCGTCGGGGTATTTCCCTAAGCAAAGACACTTCTCTCCGTAGAGGAATTCTGCTGCTCTTAGGAAATAGGTAATCCACAGATGGTGCTTTCATTTTGAAACAACCTCAACATAAAAGGAGATGTGAAACTTTCATTTCATTGAATTTTTCTATTCTTTGATTAGATGATTTAGTTTGGCAATGATACAAATGAATATTTCAGCTGCTGCTGGAACCCAACTGCTGTTGAGCTTGTTGATGTGGTGGTGGTTCTAAAAATAGGCAGCAAGAAGAGAAGTAGGCGCATCAAGCTCCGTGTTGCTTTCAGTTGGGCAATTTTAAAGGGTTTATATTTAAGTTTAAATTTAAATAAACATTCTCAAATTACCATAGCCTGCTCTGGAGTATTTTATTGGCATAATCATTGTATTCGTAAAGTGTAACGCAATGAAACAACACACATAGGTTATGTTGCATTAGTAAACTAGCTGGGACTCATTCCTCCTTTACAACTTCTCTTCCTGGTCCACAGTGGGGATCAAAATCTAGATGCTCCTTTTCAAATTGTTCTACACCCCAAACAAAAGATCTGGGGAAAAAAGCTGAGCTTCCATATGACCCAACAATTCCACTGCTGGGCATCTACATGAAGGGTCCAAAAACTCAATTTAGAAAAGACTCCTTTCACTCCTGTGTTAATGGAAACACTATTCAAGGTAGCCAAAATCTGGAAACAACTGAAGTGCCCAAAATCAGATGACTGTATAAAAATATGGTACATATGCATATTTTTATCTGAATATATATTTTTTTGTTTTATATGAGGGCCTGGAGCGATAGCACAGTGGTAGGGCGTTTTCCTTGCACACAGCCAACATGGCCAACCCGAGTTCGATTCCTCCTCCCCTCTCGGAGAGCCCGGCAAGCTACCGAGAGTATCTCGCCCGCACAGCAGAGCCTGGCAAGCTACCCGTGATGTATTTGATATGCCAAACACAGTAACAACAAAATCTCCAATGGAGACGTTACTGGGCCCGCTTGAGCAAATCGATGAACAATGGGAGCGCCTTTACCTTTACCTTTTGTTTTATATGACTACTATTCAGCTGCATGCTTATTCTCAGTCTTACCTCTGAGATATGGCCTGGAGATTACTTCCTAAGGCCCTGAGTTATTAGTGGCAGAATTGACAGGAGGATTTATAGGGTTTATATTTAAGTTTAAATTTAAATAATTTGGAGAAATAGAACTTAGTGGAAACTTGGGACATTTATTTGGATAGACTCCTACTCAAACTTGAGCCTGCTCTTCCCAGTTATTTTAAGCTCATCAAATTAGTCACTATTTCTGTCCATCATCTTTTCATGAAAAGCATCTGTCATTAACAAAACAGGTTCCTCTGGGAAAACTATTAGCCTTCGGTGAATTAAAGTTATGGGGTGCTCTAAATAAATGACATCCTTGTGATAATCCATGCTCCCATGGGAAATATTGAGGGAGCATTTCTAAAAGCAATAATGTCACATTCGTAATTGTAATTAGAACACATTTTATCTCTTAGAAATTGTAATGTTAAAACCCTGAAGGAATTTTTAAAAAACACGTAAGTAAAAAAATTCTTTCTCTTTTGGGGAGAGTATGTTTTGGTCACATTTTGGTGATGCTTGGGGCAGGGGGACATATTCAATGCTGGAGGTGGACCAGGTTAGCCACATGCAAGGCAAGAGTCTAAAGCCAAGAAAAAACATAATTCTGAAAAAAGATTTTTTTAAAGAAAAATAAAGTACTTTAATATAAAAACGTATTAAGGTCAAATGAAAACCTTATGTGTGTATATATGTATATATATGTGTGTGTATATAGATATGTATATCTCTTTCTCTCTCTTTATATATATACATATGTGTGTCTTTTTTTTTCCAAAAGAATAATACTTAAAAAAAGACTGGGTATATATGGGGTAAATAGCTCAAAGGTGTAAGTTCATGTTTTGCATGTTAGAGGCATAGATTAGATCCCAACCACTGTGTGATATGTCTAACACTCCTAGGAGTAACCCCTGACCACACAGCCAGAAGCAGCTCTCAAGTACAGCTGAATGTGATCAAAAAGCAAACAAATGTGATAAAAAATGTGATCAAGAAGCAAACAAAAATATCTAAATAATCTTGCATCTGTATTCCATATATGCGTAGAATGGTAGTGTTGAATCCATCTTAAAACACCACAAAAAAAGGGGAGCGGGGGAGGGGGGCTAGAAAAATGGTACAGAGGGTAAAGCACTTGCCTTGCATGTGACCAACCCAGATTCGATTCCCAGCTTCCCATATGATCCCCAAACTGTCCAGAAGTGATCCCTGAGAGCAGACCCAAGAATAATTCCTTGAGCATGGCCAGATGTGGCCCAAACCCCACCCCCAAAGAAAAAAAAAACACTGAAAAAATTAATTAAAAGGTTTCAATAGTCCAAAACTAGGAAGGTTCAGATTTTTAAATATTTTTAATACAGGGTTATCAAAAGTACTTTGTAAATTCAGCCAAACTTAGATAAATTTGTATTATTGAAATAATGTATAACTGACACGCATGACATTTTATTCATTAATTAATCATCCTAAATAAAAAACTTCATTCGCAGCCACGTGATCTCTTATTGTCTAGTTTTCACTCTTACAGAACCTGACAGGCTACCGAAAATATCCTGCCCATACATTTGCCTGACTGGGAACACCTGTGAAGGTGATTAGAGGCCTCCTCAAAAGACTCCATCCCTCTCAGAGAGCCTGGCAAGCTACTAAGAGTAACCTGCCCTCACGGCAGAGCCTGGCAAGCTACCCATGGCATACTCAATATGCCAAAAACAGTAACAATGATGGTCCTCGTTCCCCTGACCCTGAAAGAGTCCCCAATATGCCATTGAGCTACACTAGCACGTGACGGGGATGAATGGAGACATCACTGGTGCCCACTCAGGCAAACTGATGAAAAACGGAATGACAGTGATACAGTGATACCGTGAAATATAAAACTTTAGAACTCTATAATAGTAACCCATAGAAATATTTTTGTTACTAAGTGAAATGCTTGGAGTAGTAAATTTTGTGTTACTCATTAATAGCACTGAACAACACATCATCCCTAAACTGCTGGGTGAATTTTAGTCAAGTTGGCTTTTATTGTTTCTCTTCCATTATTCCACTGGGTACTAGACCATGGAATTAAGTCAGTGTTTTCTGCTTCTGTCCCTGTGACTCACTAACAGGATCCTGTACCTAGTCTGCATGTGAACTGATTGTACTGATTTTAGTTTAAGGTTTTTCAGTTTTGTGTCTTTGTAAATAAAATATAACACCTTATAATGTTAGCGATCTATTAAGCAACCAAGGACTATAGGATATCATTTAATGATCTGTATGGAAATAGTAACAATGGATCAGCAAATACCTCAATGTGCTAATTCCAACTCAACTGAAATTCTGATGACAGGCAATATTTTAAAATTTGGTTTAGTTTGTTCGGAGTCTCAGTGCTTCTGAAACGTCCTCCTTCTTGTTATACTGTAGCCAACCTGTATTCTTTTTAACTGAAATTATTTGGAGTTTGTTCAGTTTTGATTTGCCTATTAAAGGAGTTCCATAACTATACTTGTTTATAACCCCAGCTGCACAGCTAATTCTTCTGTGTTTATTGTATGTTTGGAATGAGTGCACACAATTAGCCTATGCAAAGCTTTATCTACTGCTCCTGTTGGGGACAGCTCCTGAACTTTCATGGGTGAGTTTCTGGAGAAATGAAGGGAAAACTCGAGAAAGCTTTCATTCCTAATTTTTTTTCCCTTGTCTCCCAACAGGAACTTTTTACTCCTGAATGCAAGTTTAAGGAATCTGTTTTTGAAAACTATTATGTAATCTACTCATCTATGCTGTACAGACAACAGGAATCTGGGAGAGCCTGGTTTTTGGGATTGAATAAAGAAGGGCAAGCTATGAAAGGAAACAGAGTAAAGAAAACCAAACCAGCAGCTCATTTTCTACCCAAGCCATTGGAAGGTGAGTATGCATGCTCATTTGACTTGTGACACAGTTGCTTTTCCACTTGATTTCTCTCCTCACCTCCAGAGAACCCAGCGGAATGCTGAAAGTATTTTCAGCTTGATCTGGGTGATGGTCACACAGGGGACATTATAAGTTGTACATATAAGATGTGTGATCTTTGTAAGCTTTACATGTATGTATGTACTAGGTAGATTGATGGAATGACTATAGTGAGTTTTAAATGCCAAGAAGCTCCTTCAGTGCCCACTTACAACTTCTCAAATGCTTTCTGCCCCCAAATAATTCTAATCAATTAGTTTTTATGTTTTCAATCTACAGTGACATAGGTATGTGTGCCACAGGTATATTAGAAAAACTTAGCTATGAATATTATGGAAGAAAATTTTACCTCAGTAAAAGTAACCACTTCCTCATGAATAATAATTATAGAAAATTAGGCATAATTAATTTGGCCCTTGAAGAATTTATTGATGTTGCATAGTTCCCTTTTCAGTTGTGTAACAGTTTAAGGACTGTGGCTATGTTGCTCCTTGCTTTTGTTGAAACTATTTATCTGCATCACCCAGAAACTGTGAAGTACTTAATAGTACTTTGATCATATTTCCAGAGAGCAATGGAAAGTTTGTTAATCAGAAATATCAGACTTTCTCATTAAAGATTTGTGCAGAGTATATGTTGCCACTTTAATTTACTAACATTGTTTGAGAACAAAAAATTAATATTGAATAATTTACTCAACTACTTTCCCCTTCTGCAAAATAGCAGATCTATAATAACTAAACACTGTCCACCAGTTACGCAGTTTGGTTTTATCATTAGTTTTGTTCCTACAGAAAGTCTTAGCTTTCAAGTGAAAATGAGTACTGGTTTATAATCCAAATTTTTTTGTGTGGGAAAAGGATAACTTTAATTTTTTTAAATTAATTCTTAATTATCTGTGAACCCAAATTTATTTTCGTAAAAGTTTAGGAAACTAATCTTTTCAGCTAAAAGCAGCTTTATCACTTTGATAATGCTAAATAATTCTACCACTGAGTGAAATTTACTTTGAAAACATATCACTGACACCCAGATCAGTTACTACCCATGAAAATCTATATAGGAAATAAAATAATTAAGCCAAAATCTTCAATAGAAATAAACTATTCTAGTTATAGTGATTCTAATAATACAATAAAATTAAAGTAAGAATGGAAAGAATGAGCATGTGGCACTTCCTGTTCTTCCAAAATTATACATCTCAGATTTGATTTTATTGTTTTAAATAGTTTTTAGAGACCATCAGAATCATCAAAAATTAAATACAAATTAATAGCACAGTGGTAGGGCGTTCGCCTTACAAGCAGCCAACATGGCCAACCCGAGTTCGATTCCTCCGCCCCTCTCAGAGAGCCCGGCAAGCTACCAAGAGTATTCGATATGCCAGACACAGTAACAACAAAGTCTCCAATGGAGCCGTAACTGGGCCCGCTCGAGCAAATCGACGATCAACGGGAGGGCCTTTACCTTTACCTTACCTTAATATTTTAAAAAATTCCATAACAATCTTTACAAACAGTGTGCTTTGATTGCCATTGGTCTTTGACTTTCTCAATTGTCTTTTATTTGAATATGACCAGGTAAGAATTGGCTAAATATCTAAAACCTATTAGTTGCATAAATGTAGTGAACACTAAAAGAGATTTATACATCTCTGAACTGGGGTAAAAACCTAAAAATATGCTACGTCCTTATGTAATGTGAGACTAAAGGCTTGAGAGTGTTATGGGGTCTCTTGCTACAACATCGTCATATTGAACTGCTCTGACTATTGCTGTGTTGCGTGTATATGATGCCTGAGGCAGAAAAAATAGTATTTCCAAGTAATTAGCAGAAAGAAGAATCCTGAAAACAATCATGAAGATTTCTTTATGACAGAGGTCCTCACACTACATAAGTGAGAGATGAAAATTAATTTCAAACTTTCAAAAACCATGCAGGATGTAAATTATGGCAATGGGACTGTTAGGATAAATTAGTCATCTGATAAATTATTGGTGATCTGGGATATTCTTAGCTCCTCTACAACTTCACTCCATAGCTCCATAGATAACCCAGGCTATTACTCTGATGCTATTGTCTTCTAATTTAATTAGTAGTGGGGGTGAGAAGTGTGAAGTAATCTCTTTCATTTCCTTTTCATGCCACTTACCACCATCAGCACATTCTTGTGAACAGCCGAAAAGTCAGCTATTGCCAGGTCAACTGTTCATTCAGCTGATGCCATTTTGATGAAGGATGGTGTAGGGGCCCATCTGAACTAAAGGAGAGATCGGTTCTGAAGAAGTCCCAAACTCTCCAAAGCCTACTTTCCAAAGCCAAAGTAGCAGTCTGGGCAGTTCTAACTCACTTGCAATTCTAAAGGCAGGCAATTTTAACTAAACTAGTCTCCTCACATAGAAGTTCCTTCCCAGCATCCCCGCATTCATTTCCTGAAAAGTCACATGAACCAGTGTGATAAATTATGTCACTAGATACTGTTAGGGAATTCCTCTGTGCTTGTCACTTTCAGTTACCCTTTTGCCTGAACAGACCTCAATTATTAGATATTTAATAATGTATTCAAAATGAATTAAAATATAAAATGCAACACAACTGCCTTCAGCTCTTCAAGCTGATTGCTGGAGAGGAAATAAACCCAAGAGTCGATGCTTGGAGGAGAGGGAATACTTAGTGATACTCTGGTCACTGTTGATTCAGAGAGAAGGTTTTCTCTCAACATGATAATTTCATGAGTGCATACCTACAATGGAAACGAGTGGGAAAAGAAGGGTTCAAGTGATGGAATTGGTGCAAAGGGGGGCAGTCTGTGTCTTCTTTGCTCTCCCAAATAGGTTAGAGACTTTCCAATATGTGTGTATAAGTGTGTGTGTGTCTACGTTTGTGCGATTGTATATATAGTTTTTGTGTGATTTTTGTTATATATGTATGTTCCATAAAAGCTTTACAGTGTTTATACATATATATATGTGTGTATACTTATGTTGCACATGTATATGTGTCTATGTGTTATATGCATTTATGAATTTCTGTGTATATCTTGAATATATGTGACTGTAGTATTTTTGCATATCATAGTATATATGTATGACTATACTGTATGTGTTTATATTTGGTGAACGTGTGTCTATGTGTCAGTGTACGTATTTGTGTGTCTATGTATTTATGTGTGCATAGGCACATTTATATGTGTCTTTGTGTGACTATATCTAGATATCATTGCATGCTTGTGTGCATGTCTGTGAATCCATGTGTCTATGTATGTCTGTGTTGTCTGTGTGTCTATCTTTGAGTTAGAGTGTGTCTGTGTGTACATGGCTGTGTTTTGTCTATTATGTCTGTGTGCACAAATGTGTATATCTGTTGGCATATATGTGTCTATCTCCATATGCATGGGTGCCTGTCTTTGTACACATGTCTGTGTGTCTGTGTGTGTTATCACCAGCCCGCACAGAGGTGCTGGCCTCCAGGTTGTGGCCCTGAAGATGGGATGCCAAGTGACCAGAGCATGGCCAGGCTCAGCAGTTGGGCTCTGGGGGTGGGTAGGCACTGTCGGGCCACGCAGCTTGACTTCTCCTGGCCCGGACCCCTTTCCCCGGGAAAGTCAAATGTGCCTGTCGGTGCAGTGGGGTGGGAGGGCGCGTCCTGCAGCCACGACCCTAACCTCCTCTCCCTTGTCCACCACGTCCCCAGTTGCCATGTACCGAGAACCATCCTTGCACGACGTGGGAGAAACGGTCCCGAAGGCGGGGGTGACGCCCAGTAAAAGCACGAGCGCCTCGGCCATCATGAATGGGGGCAAACCAGTCAACAAAAGTAAGACCACATAGCCGGATCCCAGCGGCTGTGGGACTCGGTGTCCCGGGCCCAGCCGAGGGACCTGTCCTCGCCAGACATTCCTGCTCGGGCCCGCGGCCCTGGCCGTCTCCTCCTCCTTGGCCGCCGGCCGCTGAGCCCTCACCGGTTGCACCCCCCAAGCAGAAGCCGCCGGGACGACCAGCTCAGCTCAGACCATGGAATGCCCCACCAGATATGGAATGCCTTTTTCAATCTCTTTTCTGTGACTGTGACACTTCATGTGAATGACATCCTCCACGAGTACACGCCACACCTTGCCTGCTGACGCTCCCCATCTTCTTCCTTTTTGAGTCCTGTCCCCCCACCCACCCACCCACCCACTCCCTCACCCCCCATGTGTTTCGGTTCTCTCTCTCCCTCTATCTCTCTCTCTTTTTTTGTAGCACAACCAAGACGAATTGAGTAATTTCTAGCTAGCCGCTGTAAACCTGTGCACCCTTGTTTTCTCTCCTCCCCAATTTTTACAGGGCTGCTGGCTCACTCCACTGTCTGTGACCACCCCCCCACCCCCGCCCATCTTCCCATCTTTTTAAAAAATTATTCTTCTTCTTATTATTTTGAATTTTGCAGGGATTTGCGTTCGTTGACATCTTAAATGTTACAGTTGACTTAGTTGGGAGAGCGATCAGGGAATCAGGGAGCCTTCCAAACCTAGGACGGACAAATGGCATCTCTAAAGAACAGGAGGGATGCCTGTGGCTCCCCCCAGAAATGTGGACCCAGATGTGACCCCCTTGGCAGACGCTGGGAGGGTGCTGGGGCGGGGTGAGGGGTGGGTCAAACAGCACCCGGCCAGCTCTCTAGGGCAGAGTTTGACCTCCCCCTGCGGTTCCTTTGTGTGTGTCTGTTTTATACATATCACAAGCTTACTGGTAATGGTAACATTTGCCTTGCCCAGCGAGCAAGACCCACTGGTTTTTGAGATAGTGGGTCCAAAGAACTCTGTAGGCCTTGTAGGCCTGATTAAGGTTCATTTTCATCTACGAATCCTCATTATTTGGGAAAAAAGGAAGAAAAAAAAAAGAAACAACAACAACAACAACAACAACAACAAAATCCCTTAATTACAATTTATGAGAATTGCGCTACCTAATTCCATTTCCGATATAATCCTTCCCGTTTTTAATGAGCGGAACTTAACGCCCTCCCCGGTTTGGGCTGCGTTTCGCCTCCTACTCAGCAGAGCATGGGCAAAGGCAGCTGCTGTGTCCTTTCCTGCGGCAGCCATGCAAATGTTAGTTAGAAACTAGACTTTAATATTTTTGGTGTTGAACAACAAGTTTTTAAACTGAACATATTAGGAAAACAATTTTTTTCTTTTATTCTTTTTTTTTTTTGCTCAGCATGCTGAGTGAGGCACTGTGTATTCACCAGTCCATGCCTCTGACTTAGCTCCTGGGCCCCCGCGCTGCCCAGGGCCGGGTTAGGGGGGCCTTCGCTCCCATCTCAAAATGCCATCTGTTGAATGATTCTAGAGAAAAATCCAAGGCCAGCCTGTGCATTAAAACATCGGGTGTTTGTTCCACTCCATTCATTGGCTTCCACTTTGTTTTGCTTTCTTACTTTCCTTCGGAATTTAATCCTACTGAACTCTGAGTTTAGAGACGATACCGGGACGGGCCATGGTAGTTGACTTCGCTGTGATCCATAGTGAGAAAACGCGCCAAACGTTCCATGTCGGATATAGAGTTTCAAAATGTTTAATACTAAACTGTTTGGAAATATATTTGCTACCTGTGTGTATAATTAATAAAATTCAATGTTTTCTTCTCAGAAGAGTTCATTGAGACCAACTGAACCTCATTTATAGACAACTGTATATGGGATCAATAGACTGGCCTCGTGTTGTTATTTTCATGCAGAAAGATGATCCAGTCATTCTTCTCTCGTCGGCACTGTGCTTACCGGGAAATTATTTTTCATTGCTTTCATAAGTCTCCATGACAGTTCCCGCCTAGCATCAGAAAATTTTGGCCTGCTTAGCTGATTAAAGATTTAGTATAAATTTAACTGTTTATGCTTATTTCATTTTCTTATTGGATTCCATTTTAATAAATAAAAAGTTAGCATAATGTTTGAGTAGTTTATTGTCGGAAACATTGAAGTACAGAACTCACAAAATTATTCCTTTGACCATTCACGATTTCTTGTTACGTCATATGAAGACCTATTGTTTTAATAGGATAAGTGAAATTATAAGATGGTGAATTTTATTGCCCAATTATTTAGGGTAGGCGTTACTCAATCTATGTGGCAGATTATGGATAATTTAACTTGAAATTTTCAATCTGATGGGCTTGCAGTCATTGTTTCCCCAACATATAGAAGCACCCAACTCTCTCTCTCTCTGTCTCTCTCTCTCTCTGTGTGTCTCATATGTGCATCAAGTGATTCTGTCTATCTATATTTTGGTAATTAATTCTACTTGCTAGGTTTTTTTCCCCTTACAAGTTTGTTTATTGGTTAAAATTAAAACAAGATTTATTTTTGTAAATGCTGACATTTTTGTAAATGTGCCCGTCTGTTTTTTTTAAAATGAGTTGTCTATAAAGGCATTTATTCCAATGAATGATGTTAACATTCTCCTAATCTATGTTTAGACATATTGTAAAGGGTCCTTGTCCTTTGTGACTTAGTTAGGTCATTTACTTTGTGTCTAGTCTCACCATTGCACGGGACAAGACAGCACTGATAAACTGCATGTGTGGGAACTGTGTTTCAAGGATTGTTGGTATGTAATATTCAATTTACATACAAAGAGTTTGTCTTCATTGTACAATTTCTGTGTTTCATATAATTTGTTGTATTCACAAATACATCATATTGAATAAAATATTTACATGAAGTTATATTAGAAAAACCACAAACAACTTTCTGTGATGAAATGGAATTGCATCACCTACAAATACAGAGAAGTGTCATGTAAATAAGTTGGTAAACTCAATTTTCCCCTTTACCATGCCAAAGAAAATTTTTGCTCTTTGATGATACCTCTCTTGCTGTTTTTCCGGGAGAAGATTCAACCACTTTCCCCCTCCAAAACTGAATTTGCTGTTATTAAGTAAGTGCAATCTGTCGCCATTGGTGTTCTATATAGTAAATTTGATGGAATTTGTTTGTATTTACAGCCTGTATGTTTTGTATCTCCATATACATATGTCGATTGTATGGAGTCTAATATCATATTCCTTTGCATGCATACCTTGTGCGGGATGGTTACTTCTACTGATATGTGATGGTAGGTAGCTTATTGTTCACTCATCCCTCAACAATGCTTGTGAATGATCATTGTTTTGATATTTCAGGTAACACCACTTTTGTTATAGGTTTGCTTTTGGAATGATTTCCTACAACTTTACTTGGAAAACACAGCAGAGATGCAATTGGTCAATCCCCTATAAAGAGTAATATGTAAAAGAACATCATTTGATTATGAATCCTGGAGAATTTAAAGATTATTGCTCTATATGTGTACTCATCCTGAGTCTTTTGAGTGGTGTGAATTGACTACAAGAGTTTTGTTGTCCCCCGAAGACTATAGTCCCTCTGAGTGTTTCCTTCTTAGACAGCCCAAAACCTTTCTTTATCACACCTGGACTTTTGCTTGCTTAATGCCTAAAGCCTACAGCAATCCATTTTTAAGGATGGTCAGTATTAGATTTGGTTCTCTTACAAAAACAAAGGGAAAAAAGTCTTCTTCAATATTACCATGTATATCTTCATTAATTTTGTCTCATGTTACGGAGATTATAAACAGTTTATGGAGAAAAGCAGATTGCCTTAGAAATTCATGTTAGAAGGAAGTGGAAGTGGAAATCATTGAAAATTATTTTCAACTAGATTCACATTGATTTCAGAACAATGTAGTGGGCATAGGGTGGGCGGAGGGCCGAGGGAGAGGGAAACTGAGAGCAATAGAGGTGTATCAAAATCCAGATGTGAATTGTGTTATTTTGAAGAGAAGTATATTTTGGAATTTGTTTCTTAGTTACATGGGGATTACTGACACTTCTGAATAGTGATTAAGGTTTTAAATTTTTGATAATGAGCCTGCAAACAAAGGCTAAGTTATGTGTTTTTTATGGCTTTTGGTGTGTATTAGTGGGTCTAGTCCTAATCTTTGCTGGCAGAGATTGTGTCTGCATTTGATGGAAGTTCTTCCCTTCAATCTTTTCAATAGTCTAAATTGCTCTAAGAAGTCACAGAGAGAGTGGGGCATGATGATTCTCCACTGGGTCCTGGGACTTGTGTTGAATTTTATCGAAAGTTCTTATGGGAAAAGTCCTGTGGGCTAGGTGAACAGGGCTACCAAACATACTTGAAACTGTCCCGAGGAAGTTTCTGTTGTAACATTTCAAAAGCAAGGTACAAAACACGTTTAAGAAAGGTAGAATTTGTCTTTAAACAACGTTTTGTTTTGAATTGCCAAATTTAACCAGTAAATCAAATCACTTCTTAATCCACTGACTCTTGCATACAAAAGGAATGAAAAGAAATATGTCTTTTAAAAGGAGACTCTTATTAGAGTCCCATGAAACTCATGCTAAAATTTAATGTGGTTCAATGATTTGTAGCTCAATGAACCACGCAAAATAAGTATGCTGAATAAGTACTTCTGGTTTGACCAAGGAAATTTGGCAAACTGAGAAATTTGCACCAACTAAAGTTTGCTCTTTATAGTCTAATTCCCTCTCCACATCTATTTCTTTTCTTGAAAAACATAAATGCTGAGGACTTTTTCCTTATATGGAGCATGGACAGAACAACACTTTTGTTATCCTTGTTGTTAATGAAGAAGGGAAACAAGTATGGAAAACCAGAAGAAATATAAGGCACCCTGTGACCCTGGGATATTACTTGGGAGAAGGCACTTCTAACCAGTTGGCAAATAATTTTCCAGCTGGGAGTCAGATCTTGCTGGTCACCTGATTCTGTGTGATCTCAGAGCTGAGAATGAATTCACTTTTCCCCCTTAGAGTATGAAACACAAACCAAGAGATATATGTGGCCCAGAAACCGAAAACAGTTACTACATGGTGGTTTTCTCTACAAAGTACAGTTCAATGACAGGAAAACAAAATGTCATTGGTATGGTGATTACTAGATAATGTCATGAATGTTTGCTCATCATCCTAGAAATCATCACAGTGGTCCCTGAACTATTATAATAGGCAATTTTGAGGATTTGTATGCTTAGAAAAGAGAGAAGAAAAAAATTTAGATTATTTCTTGACTGCTTCTATTTTCCCTCATCCTACAAAACCTATATATCAATTGACATACTTAGGAATCGAGACACAACTAGCATGGTTGCACTTCATAATCTCAGGATAAAGGGAAACATTTTATAAATATATTCAAATATGTGAACATGGTTAGTATGTCCAAATCAGCATCAGTGAAATTTTCTCTCAAATAATTTTCAATACTAAATTTTAAAGTAACTCCACAGGTGCATATTTTCCTTATTTTGGGTGATTTGGCTTATAAAGTCCAAGCCATGACTTGAGAATATTTACATCATAAAGTAAAATTTCCAAGGAAAAATTTTCATCTTAAATGATAAGGAAATTATTTTCTTATATTATTCTAGAATTTTACAATATATAATTCACATTTAGGAAAAAGTGGGGTATTTTTTAGCTCTAAAGAATTAAAGGTTGCCTAAGCTAATATGTGTAATTAGATATAATTGTAAATATGTAAAGGAAGGCCAAATTATTGTACATTTTCATAATTCAATGTGAATTTCATACACAACAAAATGCCACCACTAATAAAATAAACATTTTATTCCTATCAATGAGTGAATATTTGTAATTTCTATTTAAACCATTTTTATATTTTGATTTTTGTCCTCTGAAATTTTGAAATTTGCACACTGTATCATGTTTTTCTTAAGTTCTTTACACCACCCTGATAGCCCAGTAAGTAATGTGTCCTTCAGTCCTTCAGAAAAGAAAATGAGTGCACATTTTAGTCCCTTCATAAAAGAAAAACTACTATCCTTTTTTTAAAATGCAAGCTACTATAAAAGAATTTAAATAGCAAAAATCAGACTCCTGCTACATGCAGCCCCTTCCCAGTTTTTAAAAAATCTATTAACAGAATATAGATCCCCTTGACTAATAATCATTGTTTTGGAATAATCAGTTAACAAATATATATTGACACAGAGTATAAATAAAGTATGTCACTTATTTATTTATAATGCTTAATTGTACATTTTTCATGATTTCTCTATCTAAAGAAAACCTTCTTTGGTGAGTTTAAAATGAGAATGGCACATGGCTCAATGACTACAATGGACCAGTCCTTATCTTTCAAAAGCAACTGGTGATCTTGCCTCTGGCACCCAATCGCTTGTGTGATTGTTTTTGCTGTACCCATATGAAATGCTGAGTCACATGGGATCCTGCCCCACTGTGGTTGAGGGATTGAGGTGAGGAGACGGTTGTCCAAGTTTCTCTGTCATACAGAAATGCACCATCCTTATCACCACATAATTGAGCATGTCTCAATTTTGGCACTTTTGACCTTAGGAATCAGATCATTCCTTGATACGGGGGTGCTGTCCAGTGCACAACAGGATGTTTTGTAGCATCCTGGGCTTCTACACAATAGATGCCCCAGCACACCCCCCCCCCCACCCATGTGACAATCAAATTGTCTGTGGACATTACCAGCTATTCTTTGGGTGGTAAAAGTGCTCTTGTTGAGAATTACCAATTTCAAGTATGAAAGAGAACTTCAGGTTTTGTGAGCATCAGAGTGCTCTTAACTCATTTTCAATCAGCATCTCCATTTCACCCAGGCTTTCAGAAATAGAAGAATATACAATCGTCTGTTTGACCTGTTCTAGTGGGGATTATACATAGTTTCCTTCGCACTTAATATTCTAAGGGACTAGATAGGAATCCAGTCCTCTCTCAAGTGGTTGTTATGGGTATTCTGTGCCAAGCCAGATCTCACATGCATTTCCAGTCCATCCATCCCAGCATTCACAGTTTCCACAGCTACAGAGTCCATTCCCTGTAATAAAATAACAAAGAGATCATTTTCATGATTAGAATGCATCTAGTTAAAATATATTATTGTAAACCATACTGGTCATCATCTAATGAACTCCATTCCATTTCTTCAGATTTTCATATTGTTCATTTTTCTTATTCTTTTAAGTCTTATTAGACAGCTGTTACAAATTTGATCTTACAAAAACTATGGTATTTACATTATGTATTATTGACCAAACACTGAGCATCCCATATCAATTCAGTTGAACTTCTATTTTGTAATTTTATTTCCAGGTTGAAAGAAGTCTGACTTAAGAGTGAATACTAAAGCATCATAAAGCGCCTTGATTTAGAGTGAGGTTGTCCAGATGCATTAGACAGAATTCTCGTATAACAGGAATGAACAGAAAGTGGATGTTTACCCCTATGACACAAATGCTTATCTTTTATTTTCACCAAGAAAAATAGGAGAACAATTATACGTATCTACTTCCTCTGTCACTTATTTAAAAAAATACATGTTAGATCCAATTAGGACTCAGGAACTTAGAATAGTAACATCAACTATTTTTGTTTTATACCTCCATATTCCCAAGGCATTTACATACATGTTATCTGAAATCAATGAACACATCATCCGTCTTTGTTTCAAAGAATATCCATTCTCTACACTACAATAAAAGTGAAATTATTTCATACAAGTGAAATGATTGTCAAACAAATTAAAAGTTCTTTACATTATTAGCTCTGTGTGAGAGAGAGAGAAAGAGAGAGGGAGAGTTGCAAAGGGGAGGGAGTAGTACATATTTTCTGGAAGGTCCTCGTGATTATATAATTGAACTTCATCGGGCACTAATGTCAGTGCTCTTTCTCAAGTAGCAACCTTCCACTTCATAGTTCCTCTGTATGAACAGTGGCTCGTTTTCACTTGGAAGTTCTCCTTCCCAGTCCCTTACTGCCATTACTCCTTTGTCTGGATCTTAAGTGGTGAGAATAGAGAATAATCAGAACCATCAATACTGCACCTGTGCAGATAAGACCGTCGTGCTGGTCACAGTCTCTGTCATCACAGTCACAGAATTCTCCAGAAACATACCACTCCTTAGAAGAACAAATGCACTTTCCACAGTGACAGGAGCCTGAAATCACAAAGGGTATTACTCACTGTCACTAACCAACTAAAGGTTTTCATCCAGAATACCATTTCCTCCACATGCTGACAAAAGGCTTCTAATAACCTCTTTTCCAAAGGTAAAAGTTTATTGAATAGCTGTGGGCTCAGAGGGGAGCGTCACTTACTGTAATTCAGAAAGGTTATCCAGGAAAGGCCTCATTATGGATCCAGACAGTGGCAATTAGACTTCAGCAAATGTTCCCTGGCCTGGTATGGTGGAAATGTCAATGAGAGCTGCAAATGGCTGATTCTTAGAGAGGGTTTTCCAAAAAGGTGCTCAAAAATAGATTTGTTTTTTCTAAATCCATTTTTTTTGAATTGGGTCACATCTTGAAAAGTAACTGCTTCCCAAAGGAATCAAGTAGCAAGATCTCTTACATAAGGATGCATCTTTTTTCTCAAAATACTAATTTGTCAGTCTTAAAATTTTGCATCTTTTTTAATATGATTTTCTTGTAGTAGGGCTCCACCTATTTCTAGAGTATTAAAATGCTCAGCTAGTTACCCATTAAAATGTTCAGCTAGTTGCCCTCCTGATTTGTTACTTCTAACTTGTCCCCAAATTTTTTTTTATGAGAATTGAGGTCTGATTGTATTTCCATTATTTCACTCATCTCTCCTCCCTTTATTAAAAATTGGTTTACTATGAAATAATTTATAGTATTTTTAAGTAATTAAAATACATAAACATATAAATGGTTTCTCCGAGAAAAGAAAGTTATTTTGATTTAAGTGTCTGTCTGCCATGCTAAAAATCTCTCAGATGATTAAATTTCTTCTAAAACATTTGTAGCACTGTAGCATTGTCGTCCTGTTGTTCATCGATTTACTCGAGCAGGCACCAGTAATGTCTCCATTGTGAGACTTGTTGTTACTGCTTCTGGCATATTAAATACTCCAAGGGGAGCTTGCCAGGCTCTCCAAGAGGGACTGAGGAATCGAACCCAGGTTGGCCACATGCAAGGCAAATGCCCTACCTGCTGTGCTATTGCTCCAGCCCAATGACAGAATATTTCCTCTATAATTATTGCTTATTTTATTGATATTTCTTCATATCTTTTGCTATTCAGGGTTATAACTGTTAAATACGTAAGAGGTCTTGCAAATTTTAATATCTTAGGAAATAGTTATTTTATTTGTCTTTAGACACTACTATTACAATGTTTTTTCCTTGAGTGGTACTTTAATGTTACATACTTTCATTTTGTTTACAAATAAAACAAAAAAATCCTGAAAATTTAGAAATTACATGTACAATAGAAGTTTCGTTAGGCAACTTCTAATTAAGAAACTTTTTTGGATGTCAACTTATTTCATCTATAATTTATGTAATAAGATTATGTTTCAAACACTCATAGCTCTTAGGTTACTTATGAAAAGATTTTGAGTTGGGTGTTCACCAACTGAAAATCTCTAAAACATCAGTAAGGACAAATTTAAAATCTAAAAGAAAGCTCAGCATCCAAGACTTCCTTTTCCATTTTTTTGGTTTTACTGTTCTTGCCAAACGTGACCCCTTTTCACTAGGAAGTCATCATCATATCCAGGTCAGAAATCAGAAGAATGGAAAGTAGAAAAATTAATCATTCACATAGTTACCCACATCTGAACTTTGGAGGTGCAAAAAGGTTTTCAGAGCAGGACAAGGAATAATCTTTACTGTTCTCATAAATTGTCATGGTTGAAAAATGAGCCAACCACCTATGTAATGAAATTGGTTTAGGACAGGTTTATTGACTAAGTCTGGGTATTCTGAGAGGATTCAGTTAAAAGTGCCCCATGCTTGAAGTGTTCCATGACATTTCCTACCATGGAAACTAGATTATGTACTTTAGCTACAAAAATCTAATGGTCAAGTGAAACTTTGGGTCTTTCCAAGGTACTCTTGTCATCTCGTCTAAGGCAAGGAATAGTCTGAACTGATTATATGCTGAGAAACACAGTTTTGTTTCTTCATTTCTTACGTACTTATTTTTTTCCCTTTTCTCTAAATTTTTCTTGGGTGAGACACACCTGCTTCTGTTCAGGGCTTACTATCATCTCTGATGAAAACATCACTCCTGGATGTTTTCAGACACTTGAACCTTAGCCACCATACTATGTCCCTGGCTTCTAAATGGTTTCATTTAGTCTCAATGTTCATTTTTTTCTAGGTTGATTTTTCCACTCCTGAGTAAAATCTATATGAGTCTGGAGTTTCTAAGGTTTCTAAGTCTTGAGTTTCTAAGTCTTGAGCCTCTCACATAGTCTGGGAGAGAAAGCAGGTCCCTCTTGATCTTACTCAAATACGAATTTCATTATTTCAGAGACATATTCATCCTAACTTTAGAGACTTTTAAATTTCTAGGCATGGAAATAATCACTGTTCAACTATTTATTTAGCAAATGGTTAGCAATTTATCTCCAAAGAAAATGTGAGATATTTAATGGACTTTTGATTAAAAACTGTCCTCAGAAGGCATCCAAATTAGTGCATTATTTTTATGCATGGGGAAGAGAAATTATTTGAGGAATTTGACTATAGTTACTTGTTTCTAAAATAGCATCCCCTTACATTGCAAACTTTTTTCTACGAAGCAGCAGTAAATGATTTCACACATCCATGATTTTCATGTTTTTCACTGAAGATAACTTTTTAAAGTTTGTCACAATTGAAAAAAATCTCACAGTCCGTTTCCAAAAGAATGTCCCTGGAATTATTTGAATTCCAAATAATTGGCTCTTCCTTTCTAAATGTTTAGCTTCAGACTAGAGATAAGTATTTTTCTAAAGCTTTTGAGAAAAGTTAGTGTATATTGTATGCTCTAATAAAACATTTGACAAGGAAATTCCCTATAGTCCCTAAAGTCTGCTAGTCACTGAAATACTTAGGAGTAAAACGGAGGTTGATTTTTGTATGTGCTATGAAAATTTAACTTTTTCTCAGTCAGCGTTTTCCCCAGCTGCATGGTTCTCTGCTGTTTGTCAGTTCTTGGGGTATTTTAGAGACAGGACATTCTTCTACTGCTTGTGAAACCTAGAATCTCACAGAGTGTAACAATAACACAGTGAGAGAATTAGGATCTATTGAAGGACCTGTACTGTAGAGAACCCTGCCTGCTCTCACCGATGACAACGCTACACTGGCCAAGACCCTTCCCATGCAGGAGATCCCGTACAGACACGAAGAGAAGCTGGCCCATCTTGGCAAGAGCCTAGGTATTAAGGTAACGATCACCCCCACCCACTAACTCTCTTAACTTTCTGGGGACCCTCAAGAATGCTCCTATCTCCCTCCTGTGTTTTACACTGACTTCTGGGGAATTAACAACACATTCCTGTACAAAGCATATTTAGAGCTTAGGGTAAATCCATGGTTATCTTTTGCCCTCAAAGATAAGAAAATGCAAGTACAAAGAGGACCAGACAATGTCCCAGGGTTTCAGTTGGATTCAGTCTGCTCTTCTCCCTATCTTCCTGCATATTTGGGGATTCTCTTGTGGGAAAACCTGTCAGAGACCTTCCAAAAATGAGGTGTGCCTTTCTGCACTGGTTTTGGAAACATCCCATTAATCCTTTCTCTTCTTTGGCACTACAGAGGTCAGAGGTGAGGTGGTAGCGAGGGCAAGGTGGGAGGCTCGCAAGATGAACGTGGATTTATCTAGATGGTAATCTCACCATCATCAGAAGAGTTTTGGGTGATACTTAAGGACATTTGATTATAGCAACTGTCACCCAATAGCATTTTTAAGAATGTTAGAAGAGGTGGGGGTGGGTGAGAGGGATATTGGGATTATTAGTGGTGGAGAATAGGCACTGGTAGAGGGATGGGTACCTGACCATTGTATGACTGAGACGCAAACACAGAAATTTGTAAGTATATAACAGTACCTCAAGGTGATTCACTAATAAAAAATAAATAAAACAAACAAACAAAAAAGAATGTTAGAAGCAAGAACCTGGATTTAGGTTGAAGTTGTCAAGCACCAAGAAGGGTATTTTTGTATCCTTGGACACAAATAGATAATTCCCCAAATAATCTAACAAACCAACGGCCTATGAATTCTATTATGTACTTTGCCAAGGTAGCAAAACTTCAGGGAGATCTGACTATAAGCTCATCTCTCTAGTTATTCAAAGATATATTTGAGGCTCTCGTGTGAAATACCCACCCCCAAATAAGTTGGGACTTCTTTTACATGCATCAAGTCTGACAAAATGCTGCAACCAACATCTCAGCAGGCAGTTTCACAAATGTACCAACTCCTCCATCTGTTATGAAGGTCACAACAATGTCTCTTGTTTTAAATTTTTCTATGGAGTGATTTATTGTCTTGGCTATAACTTTGTAAAGAAATAAAATGCTATTTCTTCATCGTCTCCAGAAGTGATGGTTTTATTCTCAGTTCATAAGAAACATGCCTTCAAAAAGATCATTTTCATGGAAACCCTTAGCTAGGGACTCCGTGTGTGTGTGTGTGTGTGTGTGTGTGTGTGTGTGTGTGTGTCTGGGTGTGTGTCTGTGTGCGTGTGTGACCTCAGGCAGCTTCATCACATTTATATCATAATCAAGGAAGGAAAGGACTTATTTTCCTAATTATGATTTTAGCTAGGGGTTTCTATATATAAACTATGTGTATGATAAATTACATATTGTTAAATAATAATATTTTTTCTGGAATTCTGGATAATCCATGAGGTCAGTCAAATGATGTGTGGTCCCACAGAACCTATTTTTCTTTCCCAGCACTATGATGAGGAGCTGGAGTCTATTTCATGAGTTACTTTTCTTGTGGTTCCTGCAGGCTGTGACCGGGGTATCCCCCCTGAGCACAGAGATGGCTGCTTTGTCCCCACCATTCTCTATGCCTACCACTGAACAGTGTTCTACCCCCTTCCTTCCTCTATAGTCCATTGTGATATCTCCAAAATGGAGCAAAAGAAGGGGAATACAGTCTTCTGCTGCCAAAGTAGGGATGCCTACAGTTATCCCCAACACCAGCCTGAAACATGCACCTCAAGGCACTTTCAGGTTCCTTTGACCAAAGACTGAAACTGTCTTTCTTTTTTTTTCCCTTAGATAATGTAGGAGTACTGCTATTTGTTCAGCCGTTGATTAAGCTGTTTGAATTGGGCTTGAGCTTCACATTACTTTTTTATTTTATTGTATCACTGTGAGATACTTACGAAGCTTTTATGTTTGAGATTCATCCATACAATGATATAACACCCACCCCTCCACCAGTGCACATCTTCCACCACCAGTATCCCCAGTATCACCCACACACATACACGCACATACACATTGCAGTTCTCACCCTGTCTCTATGGCAGACAATTTCCCCAATACTCTCTTTATATTTTGGGGTGTTAATTTTGCTCAAAATTTCCCACCACCATTCAAGCCTACCTGCCAGGGGCAGATGTTAGATAATATATTTTCCATAGCTCATTTCGAATATCACAAGAGCTTGCACAGCTGTGATTGTAAATGTAAATATCTAGATTGTAAATGGTTGGGTTGCAGAGACATCTCTGTATGACACTAATCCATTTTGGGATTCAATTGGGAGTCTCTGGGTCAGGGCTGTTGGTTTGCTAAGATAGCATCTAGAGACAAATTGTGGTGATAGCCAGTCTTCTGGGCTGGTGGTGATCCAGGGAGGGGCAGCCTGGTTCCTCAGCCACCATGCATCCTGGAGATTTAGTCCTGAACCTGCATACCTGGGCCTTGCCTGTAAAAGCTCTTGGTCACCGGGATTCCATCTGGAGTAGGTGGAAACTATCTTTCTTCTCACTGTCAGTGAATCAAACAGTTGGGAGTAGGTGTTTTTGACCCTTTAATAATCTCTACATTTGTTTTTAACCTCTCATAGCAAACCAATTACATAGGCATTAAGTAGAGATATTTTCTAGTTATGTTGTAAGGGAATGCTCTTGAGTCAATGTTTGGTCAAATTGCATTTTTTTTAACAGCTGTGATGCTGAAAAGTGAGATTTTTTCAAATGGAATAACATAATTTGGTTTTATTTGATTTTTGGGGGGTGCCCCACCAAGAGTGCTCAAGACTTATTCCTTGTTTTACACTCAGGAATCACTCCTGGCAGGGCTTGTGGAACCCTCTGCGGTGTTAGGAATCAAACCCCAGTTGGGCACATGCAAGGCAAGCACCTTACCCTCGCTACTCTATCCTTGGCCCCTTGGGACAGTTTTTAATAAAGTTGTTTAACTGATAACTCCTCTTCCTGCATGAAAACCAGCCTAGGAATTGACAGACAGCTGCACCTGACCCTGAAGAGTGTGGATTCCTTTTCTTCCTTCTACTGCAATTGGTTAGGAGTCAGTGGAAATCTGCTTACAGACAATGCCAGTGCTTTGACAGTGTCTAGTAAACACACACACACACACACACACACACACACACACACACACCACAAATTGGATGATTTTTTATCATAGTTTTGGTTTGGGACCACACCTGGCTGTACTCAGGACTCACTTCTGGCTCTGCACTCAGGAATCGCTCGTGGCTGGGCTAGGGGGTTTGTAAGTGGTGCTGGGGGTTGAACACAGTGCTTACATAAAAGGCAAGTGCCTTATCTTCTGTGCTCTCACTCCAGCCCCTGCCTGACTGCTTTCTAATCTAAACAACTGTAAATAAGCACAAGGATAGGAGTGAATGGCCTACTTCGAAGGTGTTTCTGTGAAAGTTAAGACCCTTACTAACACCATCATGAAAAACTGAGAGGAAATAACTTGGAGGGTTTTGTGTTTGGTACAGTACTCAGAAAAAGAAATTCATACATTTTCAATCCTGTTTCTATTTTGTTTTTGTTTGGGGGCCACACCTGGAAGTGCCCCGGGCTTATTCCTGACTCTGTGCTCAGGAGTCACTCCTACTAGGCCATGGGGAGCCTGAAATTGAACCGGGTTAGCCACGTGCAAGGTAAGCACCCTCAATCTCTCAGTTCTGTTTCTAATGCAGGACAATTTACCCAGTAATCTGATGACCTTCCTGCCCAACCCACCCTACTGCAGGGAATTTCCTTACTACCCCCTTTCCAGGGCTGAAGCGATAGCACAGGTAGAGTGTTTGCCTTGCACGCGGTCAACCCAGGTTCGATTCCTCTGCACCTCTAGGAGAGCCCGGCAAGCTACCAAGAATATCCCTCCTGCACAGCCGAGCCTGGCAAGCTCCCTGTGGCATATTCGATATGCCAAACACAGTAACAAGTCTCACAATGGAGACGTTACTGGTGCCCACTTGAGAGAATCTATGAACAACGGGAGGACAGTGCTATAGTGCTACCCTCTTTCCAGTTTCCACCAATCAGTACCCCCCCCACCCCAATTCTTCCCTTTGCCTCTTCCATTCAACCTCCCTTTCCTCCCGTTTGGAGAAAGCAGGTGTTTCCAGGAGCCAAAGTTCCCAGAGAAAGCTTGGAAAATGTGTTTAGGATTTGGGATGAGACTGAATTTAATGAGAGAACAAAAGTACAAAGCAGAGCTTGAAATGGATTTGAGTGCCACCAGACAGCAGCCATTGCATTAGCGGGCTGCCCCCTGCTAGGAGTAAGTCAATGCAAATCTCACTCAAACACAGAATTCCTGAAAGAAGGATGGGATCCTCTGTTGGAAGAACAAACTGTATCAATTTTCTACCTTGCTTTTGACTCTGTGTGTGGTCGTGCATCCTTCGACTTAATGAAGCAGCCCATCCACCAGTAGCACTGACTCCGAAGGAGAGGGAAACTGCAGCTTCTGTTTAGGGGATATCCCCCAGGGGGTCCCATCCAGTCTCCCCTTCACCAAAACTCTTCAGAGATCCACTTTGCTACTGTAGAAATACCTAAGTGAGGGGCTGGAGCGATAGTACAGCGGGTAGGGCATTTACCTTGCCTGGGTTTGATTTCTAGAATCCAGTATGGTCCCTCAAGCACTATCAGGAGTAATTCCTGAGTGCAAAGCCAGGAGCAACCCCTGAGTATCGCCAGGTGTGAACCAAAAAGAAAAGAAAAAAAAAACCTAAGTGCTAATCCTGCCCCAGGTAGGTTGGTGTTTGATGGTAAATACAGCAGTTTCTAGAATTGTTTGTAAAACGGGACTTACCCTGTTCTGCCAGGAACTAGTGAGGTAAAAAAAAAAAAAAAAAAAAAGAGCTGGGATATGGCAGGCCTCGAGTCTCCTAGGGGAAGCTCTACAACATCTGGTCTTCTGGAATCTTTTCAGCAATTATCCGAGTCACCAACTAAGATGACCAGTATGCCATCTTAGATGGGCTCACATGCACTCTAAAACAGGGCTTAAAGTCCCTTTAAGGATGTACACAGAGGGGCAGAGATACAGACCAGAGTTTAAAGCATGCCTCTTAACATGGGGCTCACCCTCGGGTGGCCCTAAGAAGTGGGGTAATCACTTACCATCTAACCCTGAGCAGCTCTACAACCTCTGGCTCTTGCAGAGAACTACTAGCCGAGCTGACTGAGTGTCACTGGTAGCACCTCAGGACTTCTTGAGACTCTACCCACAGGCCCCTACTCACTCCCAATACGGAAATATCAGAGTTGAAGTATCTGGAATGTGACGGGTTAGTATGCCATGTGTCTTCAGCAGAATAAACATTTGTTTCTTTAGAGGCCAGAAAGCCTTTGATGGGATTGCTTTCCTTCTGGAACCAGTTTCTGAGTTAAATGCTTGATTGGGCTGGCGGCTCCCAGTCAATCAACCTGCACATTGTAATTACTGGACAAGCTCACATTTAAACAATTTCAAAAAATATATATGAGTGCACATGTTTGCTTAGAAAATTGGCGATAATTAGGCCAAGGCAACCAAGAGCAGAATTTCAGATTCAGATTATTTTTCTTACTTTTAAATGAAATACAGGATTCTGCCTCCCCTGCTACTTTCTCCCAGCTGCCTCCCCTCTCTACAGCCTGCCCACGCTGTCTCCCTCTCCTGGGTTCTTTGGACTTGTCTTTTTTCGAGAGATCAAAATTTCGGTCTTGGCTCATAAGAGGCTCATACTCACAGTTCTACAAAGCTGTGCTATGATCTCTAAGAGTTAACTCAACAGAGCTCTGTCCTTTTGCCTTTTTTCTTTTGTCCCCTCCATTTTTTTAATTTATTTTGGTGCCCTTTCTTTTTGTCTTTTCTTTAATAGGGATCACCCAGTACTGGGGGGTCTTGGGGATATTCACAGTCTCAGTTGTTTTGCCCTTTAATAGTCTGATAGTTGGGTGTGTGGGCATGTGGCACTGTGCCTGGGGTCCTGGGGGGATACAACACAGGCCTCTACACAAGCCTGGCATCTTCTCTGCCCCTTGACCTTTCTTCTACGTGCAGGTCTCTTTGATTTGGGCTTGCCCTTTCAGTGTTGTTCAGAGCATACGCCTGGTTCTGTGCTCAGGAATCACTCCAGTAGGTGCCAACAGGGTGCCAGGGCTCACATCGGTGTGAGTCACATGCAAGGTTAGTACCTTGGCCACTGGACTATCTCTCAGCCCAATATGTTACTTTCCAACATGCCTTCCTCCCCTACTTTGTGCATTCACGTGACTGACATCTGCCCTCAGAAATTCAGGCCAGTGCATCTGCCTCATGCATGTCAAGTCCTCCATGCCTAAACTTTCCCAGGTCCCTTTCAAACTTTAAGTTGCACACAGTCTGGGGTTGCACGCAGAGATGCATGAGAACAGGCAGTTCAGTCCAGCTCCACAGCGATACTCACCCTTTCCCGAGCACAGTGTACCATCCGCTGATTCACACAAACTCTTGCTCTGTTCCTCCGTCAGGTTACACTTGCGTGGGTGTTGACAGAGCTTCCCAAACCAGCCTTTCTCACACACACAGAGGCCGCAGGAACAAGTGCCATGACCTGCAGAGGGATCCGGGCGGGGAGAGAGGAGGAGATGGTAAAAGACTGGAGAACAGCCAGTGGGATCACAGCATTCCAGAAAGAACCTTGTCAGCCCCAGGATCTCATTTCCTCTCAAGCAATCCGTTAACTCTTCTGCAGAGTTGGCAGAGGATGATCAAATAGAGCCTCAAACCATTCTCACAGACATAGTTAGCTGCAGCAGAGAACGGAAACTTGACATGGCTTAAGATGAAATTTCACTCTCCTCTCTGGATGTGGAGACTTCTTTATTCCCATCTGTATCTGTCTGCTGTCCAGGTATATTATGTTATGTCTACTGGTGACTTTCTTATGGTTGGCCATTGGGAAAAAAACCGTGAACTCCTGTGAATGACAGCTAACGGTGTGAAATTTGATGCGTGTACCTCTCTGTTCTTATTAAAGAACAGATGTAAGTGTCAGTAGCAGCTAGAGGGGAGGGACAGGGCCACCCCCAAATGGCTCATTTTGGCAAAAGATATATTTCCTAGGAGGGGCACTAAAGGCTAGGGGAGATGGATTTTGTGAAGACGTAGACTTATGAAAAGAGGAGCACGGCCCTCACTACAGAGGGAAGCGCAGGGAAGACCTAGCTCCTAAGTCTTATCTGAGGAAAGGACAGCACTTAAATCTGTAGAGAACTGGTCCCTCTGCTCACTGTGTCTCCCTAATTGAGGGTCCACTTCTCCTGCCCAGAACTCCCTGCCCCCAGCAGTCTAGACCATACAGGGAAGGTTTTTCCTCACCATCTTACTCATTGTGTAGAAGAAATGAATGCTATTATCAACCCATCTGTTAAAAATAGGCAAAACTGAGCCCCTAGTGGAAGTGTTGATGCCTGGATGTGCCTCCTTACAGAGCATAATCCTTACACCCCTTCATCTGCAGTCCCTTGACCGGAAGTCAGAAAATCTGCTGGCTATAGCTCTACTGTTTTCCTCTTGGGGTATGTGACTTTCTTGGAAATCATCTTTTTCTTTGCTAATAACCTCGTCCCATGCTCTTTCTGCTGCTTTAAACCTTCCATTTTGTATTCCTCCTGGTTACTTCTTTTACTTGCTAGGTGAACTGCCCTATTTATGAATCATCTAATAAAGCCAATTAAATCTCTAAATTTGGCAGTGGTTGTTGACAATATTCTTTCTGACCCTCGTATCAACCAGTTGGGTGATTGTGTGGTTCATTGTCTATCATCTGATGAATTCAGAGTGGTGGGGTTATTTTGCTAAGTCCGTCTACTATTGTAAAGATAATACAAGTGAAGGAGACATGCAGTTCCATTTCCCACTTTGTCCTTAATCTGGTCACTGTCACTTGTTCCTGGTTTTGATATGTTGATTATTCAGTACAGTTATTAAATTGTATTTGCATATATTGTTCTCATCACATACCTGTGTGACACATATGCCTGTAACCTTCTGCTTTTTTATTTGGCTTTTGTTTGGGAGGGGGCACACCTATAGGCTTTCAGGGCTTTCTCCTGGATCAGTGCTCAGGGATCACTCCTGTCAGGTTAAGGGGACCATATGGGACCAAACCCAGGTTGACTGCATTCAAGACAAGAACCCTACCATTACCCTACAGAGGGGCCATTACTATGATCCCTCTGCTTTAAGTTTTATTTCCACTTAATAATTTGGTTTTGCCCTCTGTGTACACTGCCTACTGTTAAGTCTCATCACATTGTGTCTTTGTTTTTTTTTTTAGATTATTATTAGTGAAACACCATGAGGTACAGTTGTAGACTTACAAATTTTTGTGCTTGGGTTTCAGTTATACAATGATTGAATACCCATCCTTCCACCAGTGCCCATCCACCACTACTAATCCCAATATCCCTCCCACCCCCCAGTATCCCAGTATCCTACTCCACCACCACTAATCCTAGTATCCCGTCCACCCCATCCCACCCTGCCTTGGTGGCAGGGCATTCCCCTTTGTTCTCTCTCTTCTTTTGGGTGCTGTGGTCAGGGAAACAATTCCAATGAAAAAGCCATGGTTAAATAAATCATTGCTGAAAAATTCCCAGAGCTGGACAGTGCAGCCATTCAGTTTCAAGGAGCCTGAAGGATGCCAGCTAAAAGAGACCCTAAAAAAACACTCCACGGCATATCATAGTTAGAATGATCAATGCCACTGATAGAGACACAATACTGTAAGCAGCAAGGGCAAAGAAGGAAGTCACATTGTATCTTTGTTAGGCAAAGATTTACTGCATGTATGTTTTCAGTAGAACATTTTTGTCCACTAGGGGAGACAACCTACTGGACAATGAAAGCCGTGCCTTACTCCCAGACACAGGAACTCATTACTCAGGCCACTCAGCTCTCTGCACTGTCTGATGCCATTCTGTCTAGCCCATTGGCACTGGCCAGTCCTTCAAAATCAAACCTTGTTCCATCTGCTTCATCCTCTTCTTCTCAGTTCTGCACCAAAAAGTGTTCATGATCAACAAGGATGTATCGAAAATTCACTGTTATAATTAATTTAACCCAACTCAAATCATGTTTTACTAGAGATTGTGTGGAAGCTAATCTCCTCATCACCCTCTGAGCCAGGTTTGTTCCCCACCGTTTCCACTGCTCACTCAACAGTCTAGGGTTTGAAGCTCAGAGACACTGCTAATCACGTCTGCAGCTCACTGCTCAACCACACATGACCGGAACTAGACTCTAGTTCCCCTGAAAAATTTAGAAGGCAACCAAAAATGCGAGGAGCATTATCCGGTATCAAAGAACTATAATTTGGGAAAGCCTAACTTGGGAAAACTCTTAAACATTGTTCCCTGTCACTGTCCTCCCATTGTTCATCAATTTTCTCGAGAAGGCCCAGTAACATCTCCAGTGTGAGACTCTGTTGTTACTGTGTTTGGCATATCAAATACGTCACAGGTAGCTTGCCAGGCTTTGCCATGCGGGCAAGATACTCTCCGTAGCTTGCCCGGCTCTCCAAGAGGGGCGGAGGAATCGAACTCGGGTTGGCCATGTTGGCTGTGTGCAAGGCAAATGCCCTACTCGCTGTGCTATCGCTCCAGCCCATATGTTGTTCCCAAAAGGAAATATAGTTTGTTTTGTGGTAAGATAAAAGAAAGATGATGAAAGTTGTTTAACAAAAATGTTCATCATTTTTTAAAAGCTTGAACTCTTGGCTATACATATATAATCGGTTGCTAAATCCATCCTCTTACAAAAAGTTTGCTTTCTTTATCTCTAGATGTTTTCTTGATGGTTTCTTAGAACAACTACTTTGGATCTAGTTCCTTTACAGGTTTTTGGTTTCATTTTTAAACTAGAGAGATAATATAGTGTTTCCATAAATGTGATCTGATGCCATTAAATGACTCATCACATTTTGTTTGTTTGGGGGCAACACCCAGTAATACTCAGAGTTTAGTCCTGGCTCTGTATTCAGAAACCACTCTGGGTGAGCTTGGGGGATCATATGGGAGGCCAGGGATCTAATCCATATAGGCTGAATGCATGGCAAGTGCCCTACCCACTGTACCATCTCTCCATCCCACCTTTTTACGCTTTTAATGGAATAACTACCATGAGCTAGCCAGATCAAATATTTCAAATAATATTCAAACATTCTTATCCTTTCCCAATGCCCATATAAAGATTGGCCAGGTCTTACTTAAATGACTATAAATTTTTTATCTATATAAATTATCAACATAAACCTTCCCATGATATCTTTTATGGTATTCGAGCTTAAATCTTCTCATAATACAATATCTCTTGTCTCAAAACTATGATGTCTAGACCCACTTGACCACATTATATGTATGGGATAAAGTTCACTTATGCCAGCCTTCTTTACATTTCCATTTCTTGAAATAGATCTCCTGGCTACTTCCAAGCCTGGCTTTCTCTCTTCTCATGTCTCTCAACATATCAAATGAGCTCACTATGTTCCCTTCACAGTCTCAACTTCCTGTGTTTGCACAGAGAGGAGAACCATCCTTACTCTACATATCCAGTCCTTTTGAACTTTCTTATTTCAGAAAATGTGGTCACCAAGCTGTGAAAAAATATTTCTTTCTAGCTTTCAGGCCCTGTAGCTGGGCAGGACTACATCCAATGGCTATCTCTTCTTTCTCTTCATGGGCAGATTCACTGATACCTGTAGAGGAGAATGCCTCTCCTGGAACTAAAGTCAACCCTAATACCATGTCTGTCTGGAAAAAAATTCTAATATCTTAGAAGGAAATTCTTTTCTCTTTCTTTAGCTTCTATATGAACCACCTTATTTTTCACCTTCCTTATAGAACATTTTGTCTTCTACTTTATGGTATATGGTGGCTGATGAAATAAACCCACAGCATCTTTTAGACTGCTAAGCACACGCACTGCCTTCTAGAGTATTCCCCCAAATACAAATTTCATATGAGAAGACTAAACTGAGTCCAGGACATATTTCCAAAATGAAATTGACTATCAATCCAATTGATTGACTGTCAATCAAGGGCAATGGGAAATTCTTAGGTGGCTCTATTTCTTTTATTTATTCTTTTTTTTTAAAAAAAATATGTATTGAATCACCATGAGAAAAGTTACAAAGCTTTGAGGTTTAAGTCTCAATCATATAATAATCAAACACCCCCCCTCCCCTTACCAGTAATTATTTTTCACCACAAAGAACCCAAATATACCCCCCCACCCTTCCCAATGCCTGTGAGGCAGATGGTTTCTACTTAACTCTCTCTCTACTTTGAATATATTCATTATTTCTACAAAAAATATGCCATTATTGTTTGGAATTTCCCCCCAACAATCAGAATTGCTGAAAAGGGATTGTGAAATAATTTGTTTTCTATTGCTGGTTATGAAAACCATATGGATTTCTGATATTTTATTAATTAAATTAATTAAATCTGGGGGGATTTCTGCCAAGAGCCAGATAATTATGAGATTGGTTTTTGTGCATCTGGTGCCATGGCGGTGCCGGAGAGCCACTCATGGGGGAAAACTCATGGC